CTCACTGCGCACTGGGATGGACGCTGCCCAGGCCCTAGGGAACTCTCCTGTCCCTGCCCTCCCTGCAGCTCTCGGAGATGTCTGTCACCCTGCTGCGGGACCCCTCCATGTCCCCCCTGGGGGCAGCCACGCTCACCCCCTCCTCCACCTGCCCCTCCCTGGTTGAGGGGCGCTACACTGCTGACCTGAGGTGAGTGAGGGGGGATGCCCACAGAGCTTCCAGCATTAGGCAGTGAGGGCCACTGTGACTGAGGGCTCAGGTGTCCATGTCTCACTCCCGCTGGACACCCTCCTCTACCTCACAGCCCTGGACACCACTTGGCTTGACATGCGCTGAGTAAGGCACAGTTAGTCGTGTGGCTTTGGGCAGATGTGGTGGGAGACGCCACCCTGTCACCAGGCCACTCCTGTCTGCATTCTGGGGGGGCCCTGCATGACACAGAGAACCGCCCATGGGATGTCCACAGCTATAATCTTTATCAAAGCAGAATGGCCACCTTCCACCCTCCGAGCAGCTCAGGGGTTTCAGTCAGCCACCCGGTTCTGAATCCTCCAGGGCTCCTGAGCATGGCCCCTCTGTCAGGGCAAAGGCGAACGGATGGCGAGGGGCCTTTGAACTGCAGTGAGGCCTTGACCTGCAGGGTGAGATCGACTCAGCTGCCCACGTGCTCTGGCGCGTGGAGTGGGGGCTGGGAGCACTGGCGAAGGGCTGCCCCCACCGGTCTTTACCTGAGTGTGTAGCGTCCGCTGGGGGCCGTGCACGTACCCCAGTGCACAGCACATCGGGCTGCTGACACAAAGGCTGGCAGCTCAAGTCCCAGAGCCACTCCGAGGATGAAAGGTGTCAGTCTCTTCCTGGGAACATCTACAGCCTCACAGCCCCAGCTGGAAGGTCACCAGGAGTAGGGACCAAGTTGAGGTCGGCAGGTTTGGTTTATTAACACAATAATTACTGCTAATAAGTTGTGGTCTGGAGAAGATTATTGAACATCTCATGAACCACTAAAAGAACAAGCAGGTCTGTCCTAGAGAGAGTGAAACCAAGTTGCTCCTTGGAGGCAAGGTTTGAAATTCTGCCTCATTTACTCTGGGCATTTGCCAGGAGGACCCAGTCCTTGGAGAAGGACATCATGCCTGGAAGGGTGGAGGGTCAGGGCAGGAGAGGGAGACCCTGGGTGAGATGGATTGACATAGTGACTTTGGCAATGGGATCAGACGTGCCAGAGATGGTGAGGTTGGCTCAGGACAGGACAGAGTCCAGGGCTGTTGTTTGTAGGGTCACTATGTGTTGTAGTTAAGGGGACAGCACCTAACAACCAGAAGTGTAAAACCTAGGCCCCCTCCCCCAAAAATGGAGCTGTTGCCATGGAGTCCAGAGCTCGGTGACCTGTGCGACAGAATGAAAGTTCAAAGCTGCTGCCTCAGGGAGGCCTCTGCAGCTGGCGGGTTCCACTTTCCACAGGACCACACTCGGGGACCTCAGGAGAGGCTGGGGGGCAGGCGGCCCACCGCTGAGGCTGCCACACAAGCCGAGCTCTCTGCTCTCTCCAGCGGAGACCTGGTTCTCTAGTCGGGCACCTAAGACTATAGCACTACCATGACACAAGGTGGCACGCCATGCGTTTCATAATTATCTAGAAAAACAGCTGAGTGGCCCCAGAAGACACCTGGGAGACGTGGGGAGTGGCGGACTGCCAGCCGTCGACATGTAACTAATTCTACTCTTGTTTTAAAGGTGTTTTCTAGATTTTTTTTTAAAAAAACAGGAACGGGCGCTCTGGTCCTCAGAGTCAATCGGTCACCAGCAGTGCCCCTTCAGCTTGTCTTAGGAGCACCTACCTGCTTTCCTGAGGGCTAACCCCTTGGGCAGCCTGGGGGCAGTGGGGGAGCCACACAGCGGCCACCCAGCCCCAGGGTCTGGCTCTCAGCTCAGCCTCCTGACTGCAGGGGTGGCTCCCCTGGGACTGGCCTGCAGGTCTGAGAATGGGGGCTACCCTGAGCCCCAGCAGCTGGGCTGGCCCAATGGGAGCCTGACAAGGATGTCCTGGTCTCCTCACTTTTCAGGACCCCACAGCCCTGCTCTCGACCAGCCAGCCCAGAGCCTGAACTGCTGCCTGAGATGGACAAGAAGCTCCCCTCCCCCACCCAGGCCCCAGAGGCGGACAAGGAGCCACAGCGCCTGCTGGTGCCAGACATCCAGGAGATCAGGGTTAGGTGGGTAGATCAGCCCCAAGCACACCCACTGCCTGGAGGGAGGGCGGGGGGGAGGGTGAGCAGGCAGCATCAGCAGGAGGCGGGGTACAGAGCAAGGCTGGGCCTGGGGTGCAGCCCTACAGAAGGGCCCTACAGGCCTGCTAGCCCTGAGGAAGCCGTAGCTGGTAAGGTGGGGTCAGGGCAAGGGATGTGTCTTCAGGGCTTGCCAAGGGCTCAGGCCCTGCTGCTTGTGTTTCTGGGGGATCTGTTCCCACTTAACTGTGGCCCCCAGCTGACTGCCCACACACCTGGGCCCTGCCCCACCTCCACAGCCCCATCGTGTCCAAGAAAGGCTACCTGCACTTCCTGGAGCCGCACACGGCCGGCTGGGCCAGACGCTTCGTGGTGGTGCGGCGGCCCTATGCCTACATGTACAACAGTGACAAGGACAGTGTGGAGAGGTTTGTGCTCAATCTGTCCACCGCTCAAGTGGAGTACAGCGAGGACCAGCAGGCCATGCTCAAGGTAAATGGGGGGCCAGGGTAGAGGTGGGCAAGAAGCCAGGGTCCCTCTGCAGGCATCTTCACCCACGGGACAGCCAGGACAAGAGGGCAGTGTGTGGCCACTGCACCTCCTCCTCACAGAGCCACCACGGGCGGGGTCAGGCCTCTGGCTGGGTTGCAGCTGGGCTTGATCAGCTGATTCCCTGGGGGAGGGAGAGGAGGGGACAGTGTGCCTAGCATCGCTGTCCCACTGCTGACCGAGGCCACAGGGCTCTGGGAAGGGACCCGTGAGGTGAGTCCAGGCACCAGACTTGAGGAAGAGTCCAGCCTCTTTCTGACTCTTTCACCCCTGCTGTTTGTGCCACTCACAATGGGGCTGTCCCAGAAGCCCTGGGGGGGCAGTACCAACGGTGGGTTCCCCTCCCCACCCCGTAGACACCCAACACTTTCGCCGTGTGCACGGAGCACCGCGGGATCCTGCTGCAGGCCAACAGTGACAAGGACATGCATGACTGGCTGTATGCCTTCAACCCTCTCCTGGCGGGGACCATACGGTGTGTGGGGTTCCCACCTCCAGGGGAGGGGGTGTGGGTGGGGTTCCCACTACTAGTGCATGGGTGTGTACAGGGCACAGCAGCTAGGGGAGGGGGGTGCAGGGCACAGCAGACAGAGGAGGGGGTACAAAGGGCACAGCAGACAGAGGAGGGGGTGCACAGGGCATAGCAGAGGAGGGGTGCACAGGGTACAGCAGACAGAGGAGGGGGTACAAAGGGCACAGCAGCCAGGAGAGGGGGTACATAGGGCACAGCAGCCAGGAGAGGGGGTGCACAGGGTATAGCAGAGAGGACAGGGGTGCACAGGGCACAGCAGACAGAGGAGGGGGTGCACAGGGTACAGCAGA